TAACATCCTCAGTGCAGCCTCCAATGAAGCGTCGGTGTGTTTTCCGGCCTGGTTTTTAAACTCTGGGGTCCGTTGAGATGGATTGCCTCACTTCCGGTTTTCCTACACAAACAGCATCAGAAAGATTCTACACGCCCCGACACACTCATCACACTACCCTACATCAGGAACACGTCGGAACAAAAAAAACACCACAAGACTCCTATGACTGCTGGGCATCAGAGTGGCACACAAGCCCACATCAACCTTACGACAACTGCTCACCCAAATAAAGACCCACTCCCTATCATGGACAGGACCAATGTCATCTACAAGATCCCCTGCACAGATTGCAAGAAACACTACGTCGGACAAACAGGAAGGAAACTAACATCAAGAGTACATGAACACCAACTGGCTGCAAAAAGACACAACCAATACTCACTCATCTCAATCCACATGGACAAGGAGAACCACCATTTCAACTGGGACAACACCAAGATCCTGGGACAGCCTAGGCAGAGACAAGCACGAGAACTCCTGGAAGCATGGCATTCCACGAAGCATGCTATTAATAAACACATTGAACTCGACCCCATATACATTCCACTACGAAGGAAAACCGGAAATGAGGCAATCCATCTCAATGGACCCCAGAGTTTAAAAACCAGGCGGGGAAACACACCGACACTTCATCGGAGGCTGCACTGAGGATGTTACCAAGCATGATAATGAAACGTCTGTAAAACAACAAACCAGCTCGGCAAGCCAACCAACATCAACACCCACAACCCGAGCTACAGATCTACTCCAAAACCTTAGTAACAACCCTCCTCCACCACCCTCTGTCTCCTGCTGTTTACCCAATTTTGTATCCAATTTGCAAGCTCACCCTGAATCCTGTGTGATCTAACTTTACTAATTAGTCTACCATGTGGAACCTTGTCAAAGGCTTTACTAAAGTTATTGTGAACAATGTCGAGCATTCTGCCCTCATCAATCTTTTTGGTTACTCCCTCAAAAAACTTGATTAAGTTTGTGAGACATGAATTCCCTCTCACAAAATTATGCTGAGTCTCCCTAATTAATTTCTGCCTCTCTAAATGTTTATAAATCTATCTCTCAATCAGCTTCAACAACTTACCCATCACTGATATCAGGCTCACAGACCTGTAGTTCCCAGGCTTCTCCTTACAGCCTTTCTTCAATAAAGACACAATGTAGCTACCCTCCAATCCTCATGTCCCTTTTGTGTTTTCTGATCTTTTAGTTTTATAAAACCTTTTATGACCCATAACGCTATCCTCCCCTTCTACAGGATGTAGGTGTACATTGACCACACAGACTGTAGTGACTCAATGAGGAACCTCACTCTTACATCAGAATGACTGGCTGTCTGCTGTAACCATTAAATGGAGAGGCCAATGATCGAATGTTGTAATTCCTGAGTTTAGTTGGTGATATTGTGCAAAGTTTTGGATTAATTTCACCGTCGATTATTTTTAGAAGTTGGACCTGCCCTCCCTGGAGAAGGGAAAGATGAGAGATGAGAGAGAGAGATTTGACCGAGCTGTTCAATGTCATGAGAGGTCTAAACAGAGGAGAGAAGGTGAAACTGTGTCTGTTAGTGACAAGATTGTAGCTTTAAATTACTTCCTAAAAGAAGCAAGTATAAGGAGTGAACAAAAAAGTGAGTGGTTAGGGTCTGGAAAGCACTGCCTAAGAATGGATTAGAAGCAGATTCCATTGAGACATTCAGAGCAGAGTTAGGCTGGTGTCTGAAAAGGAAGAATGTGCAAGATTACAGGATGAAGGTGAGAGAATGGTCCTCAGAGAGATGCTCATTCAGAGGGCTAACACCACCATGATGGCCTCTTCCACACTGTTAAAGCTTGTGTGATTCCGAGATTCTCTGTTTTGGTTGTGAAACAAATGCTCCAAGCTAGAATCTGATTGTTTAATGCATTAATCTTTATTTTAAAACCAAAGTGTACAGTTGAGGCTTTTTAGGCAGAAATATTTAATCTTTGTATAAATATATAGAAATAACTTAATAAATTAACACATTTAAAATATTCTTACATTCCATTTTCATCACATAATTAGCTGTATTTGGTTGCTAAACTCTGTTGCCCTTGCTTCCAGGATTTCCCCACTGGTGAGACTCGGCTAACTCCAGACTAATGACTGCAACTGATCCGAACCACGGGAAACCAGGTAAAAGACTGTCATTTGGATGCTGCTTTGATTGGACGGTAAGTGCCAGCCACCAACATTGCAGATGGGAGGTACTTACTAATGACTGGCAGTCGCTGGCAGCCAGCACGGAGCCCACAACCTAATTATGTTGTCTGTAATCTGGTGCCAACTGGGCAGCAACAATACAGACAGCGGTGAGACATTGTTTTCATTCTGACTCACTGTTGTAAGCAGGCATTAGCACTGGTGTAGAGACCTAAACAGGTCCCTTACAGAATCCCTTCCATGCTCCTTCCCAAATTCCTACACCATCGACCAAGGAATGTTGTGCTCGTGTTGGGAAGTGACTGGGCTTGGTGCAGAGTCACCACTCACACTGAACATGCATTAAAACTATGCAGAGAATCATTAGAGTGTCGCTGAGCTGATATTGCAGTTTTTGCAGATTTGCTGGCAAGCTATCACTGAGGGAATTGCAGTCTGAATGACTGCTCCGGACACAGCCTGTGCCCGACCTGTCCCCTCACACCCACCCCACACTCACCCACACCCCCCCCCCCACCCCTCCCCCCCTTGCTGGTCCTGCTGTAATGAGGAAAAATGATGGTACAAATGGCAGAAAGAACAAGCAATTCCCAAATTGCACCATTCCATGCCAAAGTGATCCAACAGACCCGGACCAAACACACCCAAACTTCAACAAAGAGGTGAAGCCAGAGAGAGCTTACCAGCCAAGTACCAGCAAGTCCATTTTACTTCTGACATGGTCAGTACTTCAATCATCTGCTACGCTCAGAACCGGTTATTTGTACTTCACCGCACTGGGTCCAACCAATCCCAATCTACTTGCTGCTGACTTCCGCTGTGTTATTCCCTGGGTTGCTGCTTGTTTGTGAAACAGCTGTGGACTGGGCCTGCACTTTGTCACATGCTGAAAGTCACAGCCCATTCTTTCATTTCATTCATAAAATGAAACTGAGTGACTATGTCCCCTAGGTGGGAGGGAGTGGTAATGACTAGAAAGGTATGGGAAAGACGCAGTGTGTTTTTAACACGTGCCTCATGCTCTAAGATCGGCACACCCAGGCAGGCCCCTTCCCTGGTAGGGGAGACCATGGGGCTGATCTGCCAGGAGTCAGGCACTTACTGTGGCCCACAGATAGCAAGACCCCAGGTGTCACAAACACACAATGTTGTTTTGTCCACCTGAAATTGGCGTATGCCTTAAAAGGAAAGGCAGTATTGAAAGATATTGGGCATTCTATAAATGGAGCATTACAGAGGGACCAGGGGCAGGGCAGTGCTCCTGGTAAAAAAAATTGAGGATGAATATTGGGCCTAACTCTGGTCTAACATGGATCCTTTCCCATTTGGTTAGGGAAAAGGCAGGAACACTGATTCTAAGGCAGGCCAATTTCTGCTAAAGGAAATGGTTCCCCGGATTAAAATGTAACAGTTAATTAGTTGGGAGGGAGGGAAGCTCTTAAAGTTAACATGTTTCCTCCAAAAAAAAAGCCTTGATTTTCTTCTGTCTTGAGAGGATATTGGGTTTCCGGATCACGTGGAAAGAAGACTGGGATGTTCTGACTCTTTGAAAGACCCAGAATTGCGGCAACTCCCACTCTGGGTGAGGGGGCATTCTGCAGAACCACTGAGGTGTCTCGCAAAGTGGAGGTGCTCCCTGGTGACCATGGTGGGGGGCGTGGGTAGTCACAAGGGTGGGGGAGGGTGTGGCTTGTGGGGGTAGAATGGTTGCAGTGTAAATGAGCTAGTGCTTCAAAACAATATAGCTGGCTTTCTGACGGTTTGCGATTTCAATGGTTTCCTTCCTCACTCTGAACTGATACTTTAGATTAATAAAGACTGACTGGGTTGAGCTCCGCTTCATCTGGATTTACCCAATGTTAATCAGGTCCCTTTAGCTGGTGGTGACCACCGGGCGCACACAGACACAGGCCACAGGGACCATCATCTTCTCTGCATGGTAGATGATTCGATGCTCAGGACCCTTACTCTTCTTCAGCACGATCATCTCCTGGTGGACCAGGTGGGTGTTGAGAGACGGATCCTGCACCCCCCGGCTGCTCAGGCACTGGGAGTACACACATTCTGCTTTAAAGATGGTGGAAGGGTAACGGTTGGCGTCAGTGTCCTCCCTGAAATGAGGAAAGAGAAAGGGAAGATCAAACATCAGTCCTAGGGAGACGATAGTGTACTGGTGAGTGGGAGGTCAGGCTAATACTCTGGGAACCCAAGCTCGAATCCCACCACAACAGCTGGCGGAATTTCAATTCAATCAATGAATCTTCAAGTTGTTCTCACTGCTGGTAACCATTAAACTACCATCAATTGTTGCAAAAACCCATCAGTAAATGCTTGACTAGTGCCCTTTAAGGAAGGAAGGCTGCCATCTTTACTCAGTCTGGCCTACACATGACCCGAGACCCTCCTCAGAAATCATCCAGTGTGCCACTTCAGTTTGAGGGCAACTAGGGATTTGCCAGCAATGCTCACACTCCAGGGAATAAATTTTTTTTTGTACAGAGATTAATTGACAATCTCAACTTCATTTGTTGGTGAGAGTCCTTCAAAGGGAACTTCAAGTAGTGCAGCTAAATCATTGATCACCCATTGTTTAATTGTGAAGCTGGATGGAAAGAGGCTGCTGATCATCCCTTTATCCTGATAGAGATTGAGGGCAAAGAATGCCTCAACTGTCACAGACCATATATTGTGGTTAGCATTAAGTGACACTGGGCAGGGGGGAAAACCAATGGTGTGACAGAGAGAGAGAGAGAGAAAACATGATGTTGGACAGAGGGCCAGCAGCTCTGCTAACTGAATGGAGTTGAGGTTGGTTAGAGTTTGAGCTTACTTGTAAATCCAGGGAGACAGTGAGCGGTTATTGAAGCTAGCATTGATGAATTCCCAGTTGTGCCGCGGATTGTGTGAGGACCACGTTAAGTTTTCCAATTCCAGCATGTACTTTGTGTTCCTCCTTGTGCGTGAATATTTCTCTTTCCTTTTGTTATTACTTCCTTTCTCTGTGGAGGCAGCTTCAGTCAAGGTGGTGAGCACCACAAGGAGGAGTACCATAGAGGCCTGCAGAGATGGAGAAAGAGAAACTCATCTTTAAAGAAAGCCACTGGAATCAGAAGCATCAGTCATTGGGAATTCACATGCTGCCTGCCCTAGGCTTTGATCTTCAATTTGGGACCTCCCTGGATTGTGGTGGTGTAGCAGGGAGATGACAGGGGACATATGGAGGAACACTTAGAGGAAGCAGTCCTTTGGAATGTTCATTACTTCATGCTCACTCTCCATGTTGGGTTAGTTTCATCTTTAACAGGTCTCTCCTTCTCCCTCACTTCCCTCATCATCAGCCTTCCAATCAGACAGCATTAAGCCCATCTGCTCTTTCAAAGAGTTCTCAAGTTAGTCCTCTACTCCTCCAACACACTAGAATTTCACTTCAAGCATATCTATAATTCTGTTTACAACCTCACTATTGTTATATTGAAAGTATCTTTGCAATTAGCAGCTATACCTATCTCCACCCTGTCAGCCAGGACCTATAACCCGTCATACTGTGCGTCTATACTCATCTCAGTCAGTTCCTTCCCCACTCTCCCTGATGGATATACAGTTACTGAACTACATTATTGGCATGCTGTTTGCATAGGGCACTGATGCTGTACAGAACAACAGTGAAGCACCAGGCAGTGGTATGTTACTCATGGAGGAAGGCTGCCATGTCGTTTTGGCTAATCTCAGTTCATTTCAAGGCCCTGATGTTTAAGCTTACAGATGAAGCATGTTGAGCGGGTGAGAGATCTAATCATCAATAAAACCATTCCTCTATAAAATAAGAGGCACAGAACTTCACTGAGAAAACTTGTTTGATGTTTGGGCACCACTGGCCTCAATAACCATGAAGCAGAGGTGAATTTACCATGATGTTCTTTCTCCTTCTGATAATTTTCCCTGTCACACACCTCCTGCAGTCCATTTTCTCTGATGTACACTCAGGGCTCACACTGTGACTCAGTTGGGAGCCTGCCACGGACTTGTGCGCATCCTATAAGCTGGCTCCACTCTTGACGGGCAGCCATGTCAGAGATTCCATATTTCAAATGAGGCCCTGTCTGCCCCACAATGTGGATGTGAGATGTCCCATGGTGAGGAGCAGGGATGTTACACTGACCCTTGCCCTATCTTTAACTCTCAATCAGCAGTACCAAGCCATAGAGTCATAGAGCTGTACAGCATGGAAATAGACCCTTCGGACCAACTTTTCTATGCCAACCAGATATCTTAAATTAATCTAGTCCCATTTCCCAGTCTTTGGCCCATATGCTTCTAAACCCTTCCTATTCATGTACCCATCCAGATGCCTTTTAAATGTTGTATTTGTACCAGCCTCCACCACTTCCTCTGGCAGCTCGTTCCATACACGCACCACCCTCTGCATGAAAAATTTTCCCCTTAGGTCCCCTTTAAATCTTTCCCCTCTCACCTTAATCCTATGCCCTCTAGTTTTGGACTCCTCTACCCTGGGAAAAAGATCTTGACTGTTCACCCTATCCATGCCCCTCATGATTTTATAACCCCTTTAAGGTCACCCCTCAGCCTCTGACACTCCAGGGAAAATAGCCCCAGCCTATTCAGCCTCTATCCATACCTCAAACTCTCCAAACCTGGCAACATCCTTGTAAATCTTTTCTGAACCCTTTCAAGTTTAACAACATCTTTCCTATAGCAGGGAGACCAGACTGAGTGCAGTATTCCATAAGTGGCTAAACCATTTAGCCAGAGATAGTAGGAACTGCAGATGCTGGAGAATCTGAGATAACAAGGT